TCAGAATAGGGGGAAGAGGCTAGAACTGTCAAGATCTCTGTCATCTGTATGAAGACATCCCAGAGTAACATGAGCCACTCATCTGGGCACTTCACTCATGTCAGAAGGAAAGACTTCTGGCAGATCAGGTGATGCCCAGACACCTAGAGATCCCCAGGAGCCTGCTATCACATAGGGGCTAGAAAGTCCTGAGAAATCTGGGGACAAGGTTGGGAGCCACACTGCCCACACAGAAGTCTAAAGGGGATTCTATCACCTCCCACTCAGGGACCCAACTCTCATCTCTGATCTAGACCTTCAAGACTGGGGGAGACCGCACACAGCCTACATGGCACGTGCATTTCACAGCCATGCATTCCACGGATTCCACAGCCACTGTCAGTACCTCGTTAGAAACTGAGCTGTCTGCTTCTCAACCGTTGTTACAATGGTGGGAAGAATGAACTGAATCCATGAGCATACAATAAATGCCGTGTATGCCCAACACTGTAACAAGCTCTTTGGACCCTGAAATACAAGGTAGAACATACAGATATGCAAATCTGTATTGTAGTAACTAAGCTGGCCTAATTCTCAGACAACTCATCCATAAGCACCCTCTTCCAAAGTTCAGGGAACATGGATCAAAAGAGACTTAAGCTCAAGAGAGCAATGGACACAAGTGTGATTTGTGAAGGGCAAGGTTATATGAAAGTAGTTTCAAGTTCTTTTCCATTCTGGGTCCCCCCTGACCTGGTTCCATCAATGATAACTCTTCCCTTCAACCAGAGAAATGGCCTGACTTGTCCACACAAACCTACTTTTACTGCCCTGGGCATGAAGAGTGGTGATCACCTTCACTTTTACTTAATGACCAAGGTGTCAGATGCTCTGAATTATAAGAACAAAATTCCTCCCACTTTTTGCCTGAAAGCTATCAACAAACAAAAAAGATCCTTTCTGTAAAAAGGTGGCTTCTAACCATTAAAGGCTACTTCACTCCCCTTTCTGGGTACTTCTTTGTTTCCCTTAAAGACAGGTCCATTTCTTGCCAGTTGCATACAATTTCATAAGATGCTCAATACAGGCAGAGCCCTCCTTCCCTGGTCTGAGCCTGGTCTCAACACAGCGTTAAAGACAAACAGTTTTATGAAGTGATGACAAAGGTTTCCTCTAGGTCCAAATGGCTTGGATGAGATTGCAGGGCTCCTCTCCCATGCTGGCTCTGTGGCAAGCTGCCGAAATTCCCTCTTTTTTAACCCTCCTATTCCCCCAGCCAACCCGGCCTTTCTGTTGGTGTAAGCAAACACCCATAGATGAAGCTATATTCAGATGGGACCCACACTGGGGCCAGTATGTGTGCAAGGGAAACATGGGTTGGGAGCCAGTGGAATTATATGGACACATAAGGAGAAAGGTGTTCTTCTTCACAAACGGAGGGGAACACAAACCTCTTTCAACTCTGTATACCAAATACCGAAACATATTAGTAAGAAAGCCTAAAGTACTAGGAATGTGTGCCTGACATAAACTAGCTTTTACAGAGTTTTTAAATGATTCCTAGCTGAGGCAATATCAGGAAATTACAAGAGAACAGAGAAGCCGAGTACTGAAATGCAGTATTTAGTAGGACAGAATTTGTTTCCTCACCACTGCCTACTGAAGGCTTACTATGGCCCAGCCGTGTGCTCAGTGCTACTGGAACATCCCAGTACCTCAACGGACAGCAGCGTTCTTGTCCCTCAGCCCATGCCCCTTGACCCCAACCAATTATGAGTGGAGGATTTTATTACATACCTACTGCCAAACCCCAAGTCGGAAGAACATGGTGGGTGCACACTTACCCCTCCTCAGACATCCTGGCAGCAGAGGCGCTCTGGGGCTCTCCTCGGGCTCTCAGTGCATGGTGCTCATTTTCAGAATCACTCACATGTCTTGTCCCCAGGGACGCCTTACTGTGCGGGAAGGCAGCAGGGGCATCCTCACATCCGTTCAGCAAGCCATGACCCACTCTCTCTCTCGCCCTCGCTGGCTGGCGACCCTCGTGTGGTGCCGGAAGATCTCTTGACAGCTTGTATCCATGAGAAATCAGGAGGTCTTCTACACTGTACATAATGTACTGGCCTCATCCAAGCTCAGCGACTGGAACGGTCATCATGGCAGAACCCACGCTGAGGGGACAATAGAAAGTGTTCGTGAGGACTCGCTAATTCTCCCTGCAGCCGCATCTGATACCACCTCCTCCTTCACCCTGAACTAGACTCTGGTTATGAACGCAGCACAGTTCCTGCACAGAAGGTGTAGGGATGGGGGATTGCTGCCTGAAATGATTCTCGGTCTTATTCAAGTGGAGAGCGTGGATGAGCAGGGGGCTCTGTAGGTGTGGCGCTTATTCTGGGGGACCCGTCGGATGACTGCCTCTTGTAGAGGGGTCCAGAATGGTGTTTGAGCAATGAAATGATTAACAGTGTCCACCATCCCTTGCCCCAGTCATCTGAAACCACAGGCATAACGAGAGAGGACAAAATAAATACAGACTCAGAAGCTGCAATTACTACTTGGTATTTCTAAAAACAGAAACTACTAGTGTCCAGCTCAATCTTATTATACTTCCCTGCTTTCATTCTTTAGAAATACCTTTCACTCTAAAAGGGCAGAATGGGACCTTTAATCAACGTGGAGCCATGACATACTCGAGCATGATACACTGAGCAAGCGCAGCTGCCCCGGGGAGGTCAACCAGCTGCTGAAAACAGATCTTGAGTTTTGAGGCTCATAATAAGAAAACACATGACACCCTTATCAAGCATACACACCCAACCCACTGTACCATCCCAAACTTCTCCCCACATTAAACTTTTAAGAATCAAATTTCTCCCCAATAAATCGTGGCGAAACATTCTACATCTCTGGGCCAGTGGTGTCCACATTTGAGTTCTGCCATGGTACACGAATTCACGGCAGCTACTTCCCAGAATAAACTGTCCTCAGGCCATAGTACAAAAAAAAAAAAAAGTATGGGCAGGAACCTGCTTGAAAGCATGTGTTTTTTGAAAGCAGATGGGGCTGCCATGTTTCTTTTTACACAAAAGAATCTTCTTTCCTAAGTCTTCTTGTTGTTAATAGGGTGGAAGGTAGTTTGATCACATGAATCTGAATCTGGCTCCCCAGATGTTGTGATGCTGGCCTGGGCAAGAAGCATACCAAGGCCAGGCCTTTAAGAGCTGGCCAGCTCCAGCCCCACTTCATTGGTGGACGGAAATAGCACCGCAGCGGCCCTTCGAACAATGGCCAGGAAATGCCTGCTGCCCATGTGCAGGTGAAAGGAGACGCGTGTGCTTCCTGTCAGTGGGGATTCTTAGTGAGGCATATGATTCTTCTGACTGAGCATGTCCTTCCTCCTCACCACATGCTGGATTCCAGCAGCAGCAAAGGCTTGGTTATCAGCATGGAGCGTATGAGACTTTGGAAAGCTATACTTTCCTATGAGGTTCCTATATGTTATGTGAGGTTGACAAGCTCTGGCAGTTGCTGCACTAGTAGAAAAATCTCCATAGCAATTCTGCCATCCCTGACACTACTGCTGCATGTATTTTAGGAGTTGTACTACTTGGGTCATTCACTTAGACAGAAATGGAAGAACCGGAGAGGCAAGCACTTGTCCTTTCATTCAATCAAATAAGTCACTGGACTACAGGCTGCAAAGGAAAGAGATTCCATTATAGACAGGACTATGGGGACATAGAGGCAAGGTTAGGAAGGTAGGGTCTTTGTTTTGTTTGATGCTACACCCTCAGAATCTGGCACATAATATGCTCTCAATAAATAATTGTTGAGTGAATTCCCAAATGAGAGATAGGGACATTTGAGGTAGGTTTTGAAGAATGATTAGGAGTTCACTAGATAAACGGCGTGTGCATGTGTACAAGAGGGTGAACTGACATTTAAACTAGATTTGGGGTACAATTATTTCAGTAGTAAAGAACTAATATAACAGAATCCCGGTAGCCTAGACCAAGGTCCCCAGACTCATTGGCTCAATGTCACGACCAAATCAGCACCACAGTTAAAGTTAGAGTTTACTAGTAGGTCTTGTGACACTCACCGTTTCTCTCTCTTGCTATGTCAGGCTCTTTAAAAGCAAAGTGCACTGCACTTCAACTAACCATCACATAGATTGAGGGACAGGCCAGTATCCACCACAGAGTTGGTTGTTAAGTCCATTGTTGGAGTGGTAAGAAGTGAGTCTCACAAACATGTATGTGACTTATTTTCCTTCTGGGGTTAGGTAAGTTGGGCCATTATGGCTATGTCTGTATGACAATTATATTTAGCAAACCCTTAAATGGCAAGACAACCCAGGTCAAGCCATAAACATCTTTTAAAGATTCAAACCCCTAAGAGCCATAACTTGACCAATAGGTCTGATAACAAAAGCATATTGATTACTGGAAAGTCCTAACTTTTTCATCTCACAGCGGCCAGAGCTTGTGGGGAGCAGGAGTACAAAGTGTGCCAGCTTCAGCATGCAGGACTGGAGCCCCCGGGAGAGGAATAGAGAGGAGGGGATGACCCATAGGCCCCATAACCCAAATAAGTGCTCCCAGTCACCATCCAACCCTTTGCCTCACATTCTTCACTTTCTCAATCCCAACTCAGAGCCTGGGCTTCTATCTCATCTTCATGCCTACCCTAAACAGCAGACACAGACTGCTGAACAGTCACCCTGTTCCTCTAATCCAGCGGTTCTCAACCTGTGGGTCGCAACTCCTTTGGGGGTTGAACGACCTTTTCACAGGGGTCGCCTAAGACCATCGGAAAACACATATATAATTACATATTATTTTTGTGATTAATCACTATGCTTTAATTATGTTCAATTTGTAACAATGAAAATACATCCTGCATATCAGATATTTACATTAAGATTCATAACAGTAGCAAAATTACAGTTATGAAGTAGCAATGAAAATAATTTTATGGTTGGGGGTCACCACAACATGAGGAACTGTATTAAAGGGTCACGGCATTAGGAAGGTTGAGATCCACTCCTCTAATCTCTGTCATATTCAGCTTACTTTCTTCAGCATCCTTATCTACTTAAGATTAAATGAGCCACCTCACTAACATGTCAATTATAGCAGCCACCAGGAGGGGGCATTGGGTGGCTAAGGAGAAGCCAGGTATCCAATGAGTTGCTGGACTAAAAGATGGCCCCTTCTAAAGTTTTTTTCCAATCCTGAAATACCTGCACTCTACATCAACAGCATTTAATTTGATCACCCACCCACTACCTCAAAGGGTTGCTGGAAAGACACACTAAAAAGGATAAATATCAGTTATTATAACAGCAGATTTCACAACTTGGCAGGAATATGTACAGCTCAAACAGTACTGTTTTAGGTGTGATCCTTTTGATGCCAGCACCAGCTATGATCCCTTAGCAAGCAAGTCATTAACCACACCAAACCTCAGTTTTCTGGTCTGCAAAATGGTGATGCCACTATCTTCCTGTCTCATCAGATTGTTTTGGGGGCCAAATAAGAATATGTAAAAGTGGAAATCAGCACACAAATATAAGATTGTGGGTTTATTATGTTACAATAGCTCTAGTTTGTCTCTCAAGGATTACTTGCCTTATGGAAATCTTATACATTAGTTATTAACTTTAATCATGTAGTTTGGACCGTCTCCTAATTCCTTTGGTATCCTTTGGATGTCACTCTTGATTTGCAAAGTCATGACTGCTTTCTAGCACCCATCCCTTGTCTTTTATGAACAGACTTCAATTTCCATCCAAGTCACTTAAAACAGTAAAAGCTATTCCATATCGTCCAAAACATTAGCACATAATTCCTGAGTGCCTACAATGCACCAAGCACTAAAAGTATAATAATGAATAAGACATGCTTTTTGCCCTTGAGAATCTTATTGTTTTGCTGTAGAGACCATTGAAAAATAGGCAAACAAAACATGGCATATGCATTTATTAGTGGCAGAAGCTAGCCACCTCTCCAGGGTCATAGCACTGTGACAGAGATAAGAACAGGATGATGTAGAAGGGACCCTTACCCAGTCTCAAGGGGTCAGGAAGGCTTCTGGAAGATTGCTTCTAGGCCCAAAAAAATCCTCCACCTCAGGGTAGATCTGCACAGTAAGATCACCTGTAAGGGTGATTTTCCAGCCACTTAATTTAAGACATTTTTCCTTTGCTACTTTTTTGTTGTTGCCTTGTATCAAATACTCATTGTGGAACATCTAGTAAGAGTGGTTAGGGCAGTGAATGCGCCTAGTTACAGTCTCAAGTAAGGAAGGGACTTCTAGCCTTGGCAGGGCCCGGACACAATGACAGGAGACAATGAGCACACTGTAAATGTCATGTTCATGCTGTGAATATCTAGAGACATTTGATGCAAGAGAAACATTTACCACAAGAACAAGCATGAAGGCACCGCTGCCTCTCAAAGTGGGGAGTTCCCAGCTGGGAGGTTCTTAAGCAGAGGTGGAGGGAATGGATTTGGAACCTGTTTTCTTTCAACAATCACCCATTGAAAGCATGTGGCTGCACATCAATCAAAACATTAAAGAAGTATGCACCCTCACATCTTAACATGTTCTATAACACTTTCTATTCTATTACACTTTTAAAAATTATGGCCACCACCCACAAAATTTCATGGTGCTCTAGTCTGTCATAACCTACAGTGTGAAAAACACTATTATGAAAATCATTCCTACGCCGGTTGGGGGCTAGACTAGATGACCTCTGAAATTTCAGCAAGTTCAAAGACCTTATCAACCTATGAGAAATTCCTTGATCTAATAAGTTCATTGCTCTGTTCTCAACAGCAAATACAGCTGTTCTATCATATCAGAAATGTTCTTCCCAAGAAAAAGCATAGCTACTAATTGTAACTACTTTCCTATCCTTAAGAACAGAAAAAGAAATGAATCTCCCTAAGGCAGAGGTTCTCAACCTTCCTAATGCCGCGACGTTTAATACAGTTCCTCATGTTGTGGTGACCCCCAAGTTCATTGTTACAAATTGAGCATAATTAAAGCATAGTGATTAATCACAAAAACAATATGTAATTATATATGTGTTTTCCGATGGTCTTAGGCGACCCCTATGAAAGGGTTGTTTGACGCCCAAAGGGTTGCGACCCACAGG